ACACAGATCACTTTTCAAATATTAATAGTAGACCAGTATTAAGTATTAGTCGTTGACCATCCTCTCTCCCAGGAGGACTACTACTACTACTATTGGTTGAATTAACTTCAACCTCCATCTGCAACAGTTTCTTCTTCCTATCAGACCCACCAATATGGTGGCATTTGAATAGGAAAATTACATAATACGAGGTTACCAGCGAGCACAAAATATGATTTAAGTGGTTTTCAAGGGTGCCAAGTTTAAATATTTGGTCCATTTTTTGCGAAATTTGATTTGTTGGCAGATGATCATTTGATATTCGTTTTTAGTATTCGCATTAGAAACAAATTTAGTTAGAAACAGTTTGTTAGTATTGACATTAGAAAAAAATTTAAATCTCAAATTTTCTAAGATATCGTATTTTCAATTGATGTCTACTTGGCCAATGAAATTGTGCCATTTCATACCATCCAAGTATTGCAATAAACATGACAATGGTAGGCTGAAATAATTAAATTCTTTATATGGTTTTTGTTTTAATATTTGTTATATTATAGTATTTGATTTATATAAATACAAAGATTTCCTTACGTAAGGGTTTATCACATTGAGTGACCAATCTAATACATTTTCCAAATTCTTTATTTGTCTACTGTACACAATTTAAAGAATTTTTAAAATGAATGTGTTAGATTGGTTGCTTGATATGATAAACCCTTAGGTAAGATAAGCTTTGTAGTTATATAAATCAATTACTATAATATACCATATTTACTTGCATATAACACAAGGTTTTTATTCATTTTTCACTGCTTCAAAAACCTAGGTCGTCCTATACACACAAGCAAAGGATTTTTTGCATTTTTGTAATAATTTTTGTAAACTGTGTATTTTCATTTTTTACCATATGCTCACCCTCTGGTGTTTAAAAACAAAGATATTTTATCTGGGTCATTTCAATCGTTCTTATGTATTGTCAGTAGTAAAGGTGAATAGCAATCGGAAAAGCTTTTAAATTGAATTCCAACTTGAAATTCTAAAATCACACAGGAGCCCAATATAAGTTTTAATCCATTCCCATGTGAAAACAGATGATTATTTGGAAATCAGAATTCGGACAAACTCAAAATTATAATCCACAGAGAGTGGATTCGACTGATAAGAATTGGCAAAAAAGGTTCCCAATTGTCCAGTTTTATATGAACAAATTATGTTGATTATACAAGATTTTTCTTTAAAGTTTAAAATTAAAATGCCAGTAACTTTTGCATGACAGTGTATACATTTACGTGCATTTGATATTTTATTTGTGATTAAATGAAATAAAATTATAATTGTATTAATAAATCTAATTTTCTTTATTTTGATCTTTAAAGTTACACCTTATCCTATATGTGAGATCATCTTATATGCAAGTAAATATGGTAATATAATAGAAGGGTTAAAAGTACGAAATAATTTAATAATCTTAATGTTTGTACTTATTTTTTGCTTGGCAATGCTTAGCTTACCTGCTAGTTGATTATATTTTAAAGTAAATTCAGAAAATATTCATGACAGATATAATGATTTACCACTTCCCTAGAACATGTTATATTTCATATGATTTATTATCAAATTATTTAGTCTTAACTAAATTATATTTAAAAAGATCAAAATAATAAAAAACTTTTCCAACTTTTGATAAAGAAAATTAAGTAATGCATTATAGAAATTTTATCTAAAAGAAGGATTGATTTTAAAGAAAGTACAGTACATAAAGTATTAGCTTTTAATCAAGATGTATGGTTATGAGAATATATATATATATATTTTTTAACAATTTAAAATGTTAAGAATCAACTAATGATTTTGACAAATCACCATTTAAATTAATGAATAATAATTTCTTTGATCAAAATATTTCAAATTGTAAGAAAGCATTTAAATTTGAAAATACTTTCATACAAAATCAATGTAACAGATAAATATCTCAATTGTCTTGAGAAGTCTTCAAAATGGATGTGATAAGATAAAATAAATTGCTAAATGTGATGTAAGATTATTACATCTGTAAATGTTACATAAGAGAATTACATAAAAATTGTCAAAATGCCATATTTCAATTAAAATTTTGGTTGTTAGCTTCTCTTGGTCATGATACCAGCTTTTTTCACAATGTTAAAAAATAAACTGGAACTTTTTAACACCTTATGTATAACACCTTACTTGCATGTTTATTCTGAATTATAAACATTTTCAGCCACTTTTAAAAGGCCTCCTTCAAGTAAATATGCCCTTCCATTTATTATACATTCAAAAAACAGAGAAATGCTCTACAAAATTATGGATTTGATTTTTAAAATTTTAATGATTGACATGGATTAATTAAAAAACAAAAAAGACATTTTTTTTTTTGAATTATCCATGTTGGTTAACTTAGAATATAAATTTTAAAAATCAAATCCATAATACTTGTAGAATGTTTTTCTGTTTTTCAAATTTACAAGAAATAGAATAGCTTGTTTACTCGAAGAAGGCCTCTAAAGGTCACTCACACCGGTAACAGGTTCAAGGTACATTGTTGACTTCACCCAGTGTTGTTGGATGTAGATGTTGGTCTCTAAATGTTGCTGAAATAAGCAAGTAAGGTGGTTTTTTTTTTTTACAATTACAGATTGAAAGCTTACTGTACCAGTAATTAAATTAGTTTACTAATCACAATTTCTATATTAAAGTTTTTTAATTTAATTAATCCAGCCAATAATATCTTTGCAGTTTAGCATTTTCAAGAAATGGAGAAATTTTTAATAGTTACCATTAACATATAACTGTATCAGTCTGATTTAATCATTAATGTCAAACAAACTGCTGGAATATAAATCAGGTTATATCTAAAATTTGTTAAGTGACACTACTTTAAACAACCTTTCATAGTACTGTTGTTTGTCAAATTGCTCTTAGTAGTCCTGAATGGTATCTTCCAATTCCTCCTGATCTGCAAGCATTTCCCCAACTACATGGAGGATGTTGCAGGACTGCCCAATTTCGCTGTGCCAACACAGTTTGGTTTGATTTGACATGTGGAGTATAGTCCAGATTTAGCCCCCTTGGATTTAAATTTTTTCAGACCTTTAAAGAAATTTTTGGCGGGGAAACGCTTTGCAGATCGGGAGGAATTGGAAGATATCATTCAGAACTACTTAAAGCAACTTGACAAGCAACAGTGCCATGAGGGGATGTTTAATTAAAGTTTCATCATGCTGAGATAAATGTTTCAACGTTTATGGCAATACTTGCTATAAATGTTGAGAAATAAACAAAAGTATATAGTTTTTGTGGAATGTATTAAATATTTTCTTTAATTATAAATGTTAGTGTAATTTTGGCCTGTACCTTTAATATCAGACTCCCCTCATCCCCTCATATATATATAAATTTATTTTGCACTTTTTATTTCCTGAACATGACTTTAGTGTTTGAAAGGTAAAAACACTTTAATCAAGTTTATTTTAGCAATGACAGTTTTCTGGTAAAATATCTAACATTTATGGTTCTGATAATTTCAAGAAATTTTGTTTAAATATAAAAATACAGTAGAGCGTCATTTATCCGAATCAATTGGGGACTGGGGTTGTTCAGATAACTTATTTTTCGGCTAACCGATTATGTACAAAAAAATATACAGTATTAACCTATCCCATGTTGAAATTTTTCTCTGTTGCATGTCACTTAGTGTTGAATTTTTGTCAATGTTAAGCCTAATGTAAACTTTTTAAAATAATAATTGTGGCTATTGTATTGTTAAAAATTATTTCTTTATTTTTTACAAACAAAATAAATATATTGAAAAATATAAAAACAAAAAAATTATACTTTAGAAGTTAATATAGTATCAAAAACATTCGATTCAGCACGACACACAATCCTCAGAAAAACACCACAAAAAAGATATTGGAGTAGCCCAAGATATAGCCAAAGATTGCAGTGCCACAGCACTAGCGAAAATTTAAATTTGCTGACTGGAATGCTCTCGGATAACTGACGTTTCGGATAAATGACACTCTACTGTATATTTAATAATCTGTTTCCTTTTTAATGTTGTTTGCTTTATTTTTAAAAAATGTTTTTATTTAACATTGCAGTTAGAAAATTTATTATATTTTTTGAATATCTTATATATATATATATATATTCTTAAATTTAAATTTATATATAAAAACTTTACAAATTATTTTAATCATAGAGTGGGAAGAGTATTACCTGAATAATAACAAATTTTGATTTTTCTTAATATATAATTATTATTTTGTTTATTTATATAAGAACATTTTGTATCATTTGTGAAATTAGCAGAATTTTCAGTAAGTACTATAGCTTTATATAAAAACAAGTCTTTTATTTAAAAAACTTTCACTCATATTGCATTATTCCTCACAGAAAGTTCAGTGTCTGATATGAACAGACACATTTTAAATACATTTCATGGTGATTATTATAGGCCCAAAGTTTGACCATATTCATGCCCGTGATTTCATCAAAAAGATGTATTTGAGAGAGTTTCCTGATCCAAAAAGGATATATATTCACTTCACTTGTGCTACAGGTCAGTTTACACTCAACAAGAATTTGGAATGCTGTGTTGTCAAATTTATCTTGCAGTGCCAGCTTTATCTTCATTCTTGTTGCTGAAGCCTCTCCTTAATCTGGATCCTGGAATATTATCATGCTATTCTTTTTCTCGTCTTACTGAAAATCCTGTTTAAAAGGAAGAAAAAAATCTGGGTTAGGAAGCTGAAAAATTGGCATTTACTGACAGCTTATATTAAGGTTGTGGGAATCATTGCTTATAAGCATGTGTTCATATGAATCAAACATAAATACTAACTCTAAATTTGGATAAGGATAGACAACTATTTTATTTTTTATGAACAACTGTGGTTATTTCAGTTGTCAGTGTCTGCCATTCACTTCCAAACCTCCACAGACAATGATGTAAGAAGCTTTTTTGATTGAATCTTTCCACTCTGCTTCTTTAGGACCAAAGAAAGATGCCATTCATGCTAGGGAGTTCATCCTCAAAATGTTTGTGGACCTCAACCCAGACAGTGAAAAAATCATCTATTCACATTTCACATGTGCAACAGGTAGGAGCAATCTACCTGGCCTTGATCCATATTATGTGGAGGTTTGGCAGTTATAACTTGCTCCTATGCTAGCCTGTTGAATTGCATGTATGTTATTTGCACTTTAATTGCATGCTTAATTTTAATGTGCTTAACTTTAATGTCTATCACTTACTGTAAAATATCTTAATCTGCACAGTTTCTTTTATAATTAATTTATTTAAATTATAGATTATTAAACTGGAAATTTTTTAATAAAATAATTTATTTCTGCTTTTAAAAATTTTTAATGTTTCTTAAATAAATTTAATTGCTTAAACTGCACATATTTAATAGTTTTTTTTCACTTTTTTGCTTAATAAAACTTTTATGCATGGCATTGTAGTTATAATAACAAATTTACCAGTTTTAAATTATTTTTCCTGCACTATATTTAAAATCTTTATACTTGTTAGTTTTTGTTTTTTCTTGTATCTTTCTATTGGTCTTTTGTTATATGCTTATTTTTATTTCAGAATTTTATGTTTATTTCAGAGTACATTTTTTGCAATATATGAATTGCTTTAATACTGTCTTTTCAGAATGATTTTTATTTTTCATGTATTATTTTTTAATTAAAATATTATATACTTTAATAAAATGTTTGCTAGAATTACAATTTTCAGAATAATTTGAAATATCAATTGCACATTAAAGGTATAAAAAGTATAAATCTTGGATTGTAGTTGTACAGGGCATTTTATAATATTTTTCAGAGTTAGAAAAGTCACTGGAAGAGAAGTACCAAACTTACCTCAATGAAACCAGTACTAGATGGGACAGGAACTCACAGGTTTTTTAAGACTTACAAATGTTCAATATGTACACATGGGTGACATAGCATCCATTGATACAATAATCCAGTTGTTGCCACACACCACAGCTTTTTCACCATTGGCCCATTGATAGTGGAACCTTCTGTGATAATATGCTCTTTTAGCTCAGTGATATCACATGGCAATGGTGGGATTTATTGAACACTTTATCTTTTATCTAACCCTACAAAAAGAAATCACATGGTATGAGGTCTGGAAGCTGTGGACTCAAAGATTATTGGACTTTCACACTGTGTGATTTCTTTTTATGGGGTTACATAAAAGATAGTGTTTGTATCATCACTGCCATATGATATCAATAAGTCCATGGTGCATGTATTGAACATTTGTAAATGTTAAAAAATCTGTTTGAGTTCTTACCCCATCTAGAGTTAGTTTCATTGAGGTAAGTTCAATATTTCTCTTGCAATGACTTCTTGTAACTCCAAAAAAATATCATGAAATACCCTGTATAATTAATATGCTTATATTTTTTTAAGAGTACGGTAAAACCTTGCTAATTTGGAATTTGCAATAATTTAAAATTTTTTTGCTTTGTGTATTTTTTAAAATAATGAATTTGTTGATTCTAATGCAAGCTTTATTAAAAATAATGTATACTTTTTGGACCATACAATAAGCATTAGAATAAAAACTGTGCTAATTTGGACTTTCACTAATTTGGAGTAGGCTTTCCCCCAATTAGTCTGAATTAGTGAGGTTCTACTGTAAATATTTTGATTATTATTTTTAATAATTAAATAAACTTATGAATTTAATTTTAATATAAATGGTTTTTAAACATTGCATTTTAATTATCATATGTGTTTTCTTTACACTATGAATTTCTAATTATTAAATTCTGACTATATATTCAGGATTTAATTAGAAATTTATCATGATTAAAGTATTAAATGCTTAAAAATATTCTATAAATTAATTGATTTTCTAAGATATTGGTTCTACAGTTTTTTTTTGTGTTTACAACATACAACTTATCATCTTATAATAAAGTATGTTTTTGCTAAATTTTGAAATTATTAGAGAGGTTGAGGCGTACGTTTTAAACGTGTAAACGTGTACGTGTGACGTTCGGCGCCGCTTTCCCGTAAGCCTAAAAGTTTGACAATGGTGTTTGGATAGTCGGTGGAATCACGCTCGACATTTCAAACACCATCGTCAAACTTTTAGGCTTACGGGAAAGCGGCGCCGAACGTCACACGTACACGTTTACACGTTTAAAACGTGCGCCTCAACCTCTCTATTATATCAGTTTTTGCTATGTATATGTAATTTAGGAATTTTATGATTATCTAATTTATATCACTTCTACAAAATAAATTTCATACTGTTAAATTTTATGTACTTTGCTCTCACTTTTAAAATAATATATTTTAATTAGAGTAGATACACAGTGAGACCACTGTATCATTAGGTTCAGCAACTGCAGTTTCAGTTATCTGTGGTTCACAAGTGCAGTGTAGATGCCAATTGTAAACTTGTCAAAACTCTATTTGATTGAGAGATTCATGAGCTTTTGAATATGGGGTGTAATTTTATTTAGTTTTGCTTCATCTGTTGAATCAAATAGCGATTTTCTTCATTTGACCAAATTTAAAATATTTTTATTCAACTAAGTTTTTTTTAAATAAATTCTAAAAAGGATTCTAAGCATAAAAGAAGGCATGAAGTACTAACTATAAGTGAAAAAGTGAAAATTCTCAATATGGTTGAACAGGGCTGGATTAAAAGGTCCATACAACTTTGCACCAGGCCATGCTTTTTCTTAGACCAGCCCTGTGGTTGAAATAGAAAAACTCATTTGTGAGCAAACCTGCTGGTATTGTTTATCAAGCAAAGAATCCTTGTGCTCTTAAAAACAAAAATATATTCCCGTCTTCTGGCAGTACAATTCCAATGCATAGGATATGGCTATATTCATTGAATGGTTTTTTCAATGCTTCATTCCTGAAGTGAAGAAATATTTGGAGAAAGAGGATTACCATTTAAGATTTTACTGATAATAGATAATGTGCATATAATCATCCTTAGTTGCTCAGCATCAAATACAACTTCATTACTTTAACCACTTAGGGTGTCATTATATTTGTCAAATATACTGACACCCTACTCATATACTATAAGGTCTCTTTTTATGCGGTTTTGAAGTTGTGCGGTTTGTATTTCATCCAAAAATTTCTTGGACAAACAAACATATAGGTTTGTTTAAGAAGCCCGCGTATAGACAGTCTCCAAAAATCGTGGAACGCTCAAAGCTCACTCCATTTGTTCCACTGACATATAACATTTATGGATGTAAAGGACAGCTAGATCTACCTTAATCACTTTAGTTCCTAGCAATTTTTGGTATAAATGTAATTAAACATAAAAAAAGTACTTAAAACTGAAAAAAACAAAAGAAATGCATTAATTTTGAAGAAAAAGCTTCAAAGTTTAACTTCCTTTGTCTCGCCCTTCTGTGAAATTTAACACCGATGAGTCATTGTTTACACAGCTGAGTGACCTTGAGAACATCTGGTTTTGGATTTCCCGGGGCATTCTCAGACGTCGCGGGAGGACAAGGGTTTAAAGTAGGGTGAATACTAGCTGGCCGTATATTTTAAAATATTTTTTAAAAATTTGGAGACTTAAAAAACATTGCAAGAATTCAAAATAAAATTTCAAGGGCCTTAAGGACCGTGTTTTATGTAACACTATGTAACTTGCCCGAGATATCTCGGGCGTGGAACCCTTTAGTTAAAGGGTTAATTAATTAAATTAAATTAATTAACTCTTCACATCCAGATGTCAGTGATTTGTTTTTAGAGTGAGCTTTTGCAATTCGGGGGTTCCCCTTGTACATGATACTTACCATCGACAAGTCGGGCTATTACATCATTCTGAGTTTCGCATTGAAAGGTATAAACTGTAATTGTTTTGAAATTTAATTTTATTTTAGCGGTGTTTTGTTCATTTTTATAATAAGTAGTGAGTTTAAATTTTGCTGATTTCAAGTTGCAGTAATAAGCAGCCTATTTCTTTTAATTTCTGCAAACTTTTTTATGCAGTTTTAAGTTAATTTTAACTCGTTGTTTTGGTTTTATGCGATTTTAGAAAATTACGGAACATATCCTTACTTTTTCAAGACAAGTAAAGTCTTTTTTATGCAAATTTTTTATATGCGCTTTTCTGTAGAACGTATCCATCGCATAAAACGAGACCTTACAGTACTTAACAGATATACAATATGATTTGAGGAATGATTGAGGCCACTCCTGATGTTGAAATTATGGACTGTTAGAAATCATTCATTGTTGCTGATGTAATTGTCTTCATCAAAGGAACAATAAATGAATTAAAACCAAAAATGGTAACAGCATGCTGGAAGAATTTGTGGTGTGGTACTGTTAATGATTTCCAGGCCTTCCCTGGAGTTGACACAGAAGTAAGCGAGAGAATTCAAACAACAAGACAAATTGGTGGCAAGGAATTTGTTGACATGATACGGGAAGAAGTGATGGATCATACTGAAGGATATCATGAGGTATTGACAAACTAAGAGTTAGAAGACCTCATCAAATTGTCTACAGAGGAAGAAGATACTAAACCAGAACGAGCAATGTGTACACAGCATTAACATCAGTTGTATAATTAATTAATAAGAGAAGCTTTAGAACATCTTCATAATATGTTCCATGAAATGAAAAGGCAGAAATGATAACTGTTCTTCACAATGTTTTTTCATAAGACCAAAAAAGTATGTACTATTGACATTTTCCAGTTGTCAATGTTGTCTGCTCACATCATCCAGTCATTGACATCATGTATTCTTCCCTCTCCAGCTTCTTCATATATTGTCAGAAGTTGAAGAGTCTAACACAGTGATAACTATAGCTAATCCATCATCCCCATTGGTTCTTTATTGTAGTAATGAGATCATCCAATAGCAAGCAAAATATACAAATTTTTAAAATATATTTTTAATTAATAATCAGTTTTTTATTATTGGGGTCATTCCCTGTCAAGTGATCAAGGTCTCCAGCACAGTCCCCTCTGATTTCAATGAAATTTGGCACAAACATAGTAATGACTTTAAACTAAATCATGCAAAATATTAGCTTTATGTTACTTCGTCCTGAGATATAAGCCCAAATGTGAAGGTACCTCATGCCACCTCTTCATGTGCAGTTTTTAAATAGCCAACTTTGTTGTCCAATGATTCCTTGACTAAGAGCAATTACAGCATAAAACTTG